ATGTATCCTTCACAGAGAACCCAATCCCACAATGCACGCAGCAAACTCATCGAAAAAAAAAAGTCATGCAAGATTGTCATTTATGCATTTGGTGGACACTTTTATGAGTCGAAATTTGCTGTCGGGTATTAATGGAATGACTGTTTTAAAAAGTGATTTTTCATTATTATTTGCAAAAGGATATGCATTTTCATGGGTTAAATAAAAGATTTTTGTTATAAGAGACAACAAACAACAACTCTGTGAATCAAAACCATTATTTTTGCTGGCAGAAAAATCTACTTGATTTTTAAAAGTCATGAATTTGCAACAGCTGAACGTGTCTCAAAATATAATGTGCACAATACATGGTGGTATTTACAAGATACAGAGGTCCAGGGAGTACATGCATTTCCTGGAAATCCCACACTACTGGATGTTTTGACTACTTCATCGCTTTCTGAGAAGGAGAAAATGGCAACATGACTGTCTGTCAAAGACCGTAATGTACCTAATACATAACGCATGGGAGTATACATTTGTTATTCACTCGCTGAAATTCACAGGGGATTTTTATAAAATGCGGATCACGATCTTCTGTTGTTTTAAAGATTAAGGCAATAACCGAAGTTTAATAAAAAGATGATACATTTTCACATGATTTGTTACATTTAATTAACCCCCAACACAAACCCTCTATTGGCATTAAAAAACTACTTCATGTACTTCATATACTTCAAATCCTTACTTCAAGGATCACAGCTTGCAAACGTTGCATTGATTGGTGGAAGAATTATTAGTTATCAAACTATTACATTTTTATTGCTTTGTGTTTATGAAACCTTGTCAGATATACTGTAACCGTTTTATAAAAGCAAAAAGAGACAACATATTTCAAATACCACATCCATTGGGTGAGCAGAGCTTCACGAGACACACGTTACATAATCTCACACGTCATTTCTCCTGAACTCAGATGTCCTGTCACACACTCACACATACGTTTATGTCATAATGGAGAATTCATACATTCATTCATAAAACATGAGCAAACAGAAAAGATCAAATTTCCTTAAAATGAGCTCGTGCTAACCTGCAGACATGCATGCACCTGCATCCACTGCTAATGGCCTAAACAGCACAGAGAAAATCTTAGAGAGCACTAAGGAAAAGATTCAAACAAAGCACACAGTGTTATGACAACCACAACAATTTAATCATAATCAGTTTCCGTCCCAGCCGCATTAGTTCCTCTCACCGAGTGTTTTCCCACTGTTTTTCCATTTTTCCCAAGTAGTTCGTTAACTGTGCGTCTGAAGGAATGAGGCGAGAATGTGCAGACGGCATCCTGTTTTTTCTTGCACTTAGTCAGCTGTTTACTCTCGAAGAGCTGTGTGAGCACAAGGTGCTTTCATTTCTGCTGAAGAAAGAAAGACAGATGGAGGAAAGTTTGTTTCAGTCTAGATATTGTGGCCTCGTTGCACACAATGGTGTAAAATACTTATGTTTGTTGTATTGAAATATCATCAAGATATATCACTCCTATTGCTGAAGACATAAACATTTGGTGTAGAAACAGTTTTCACTTAGAAATTGCTAGTGAGTTTCACAAATGAATTACAAAGAAATAGCAAGTAACACATTTAATTAAATATTCAACTTTTACATTTTTGAATGTAGAAAAACTAAAATAGCTTTTTTCTTGTAAAACATGCTCCATTAATATTTGTTTTATGTACAAGTTCACATATATATATATATATATATATATATATATAAATAATTATAAAATATTATAATTTCACATTATAAAAATTAATGAAAGTACATACAAATATTAAAAATAAGAAAAATATTAACACAATTAATCATGCCCTGAAATTGTGTAAATAGGGATTCCATCCATTCAATAGTTCATTTGAAAAGAGTAATGTAGTTATAATGTTGTAATAACATTTTTCAGCAATTTGATTAATCAGCACATCATGTAATTGATCTCATATAATCAACTGATGGCTCTATAAGTTACTCCTTAGTAACCCATAGTAATTATATAAGGTAACACTTAACCCACATAATGAGGCTCCTGCGTAATTGTCATGTGCACCGCATTTTATACTGCCTCTCGAGCTCGTTGGTATTTGCATGCGATTTGCATACTTTACATACACGACAATTGGCCTGTCAATTGGACTGGCGGGAGCCAATAGGACTTCAGGAAAGGTTGGAAGGGAAGGAGTAGTAGCATGCTAATCATGCTAGCAACATACTAATAACATGCTAATCATGCTAGAAAATGCTAGCGACATGCTAGTAACTTGCTAATCATGCTAACGACATACTAGTCGCTTGCTAATATGATAATCATGCTAGCAACATGCTAGCAACTTACTAATCATGTTAGAAACATGCTAGTTACTTGCTAATCATGTTAACAACATGCTAGTTACTTGCTAATCATGTTAACAACATGCTAGTTACTTGCTAATCATGTTAACAACATGCTAGTTACTTGCTAATCATGTTAACAACATGCTAGTTACTTGCTAATCATGTTAACAACATGCTAGTTACTTGCTAATCATGTTAACAACATGCTAGTTACTTGCTAATCATGTTAACAACATGCTAGTTACTTGCTAATCATGCTAGCAACATGCTAGTTACTTGTTAATCATGCTAGCAAACATGCTAGTAGCATGCTTATCATGCTAGCAACATGCTAATCATGCTTGCAACATGCTAGCAACTTACGAATCATGCTAGCAACATGCTAGTTACTTGTTAATCATGCTAGCAACATGCTAGTAGCATGCTAATCATGCTAGCAACATGCTAATCATGCTGGCAACAATGCTAGTTACTTGTTAATAATGATAGCAACATGCTAGTAGCATGCTAATCATGCTAGCAACATGCTAGTTACTTGTTAATCATGATAATAACATGCTAGTAGCATGCTAATCATGCTAGCAACATGCTAATCATGCTAGCAAAAAGCTAACAACATGCTAATCATGCTAGCAACATGACAGCAATTTACTAATCATGCTAGCAACATGCTAGCTACTTGCTGATCATGTTAACAGCATGCTAGTTACTTGCTAATCATGATAGCAACATGCTAATCATGCTAGCAACATGCTAGTTACTTGTTAATCATGCTAGCAACATGCTAGTAGCATGATAATCATGCTAGCAACATGCTAGCAACTTACTAATCATGTTAGAAACATGCTAGTTACTTGCTAATCATGTTAACAACATGCTAGTTACTTGCTAATCATGTTAACAACATGTCAGTTAATGGATAATCATGCTAGCAACATGCTAATCATGCCAGCAATAAGCTAGTAACAGGCCAATCGTGTTAAAAACATGCTAATCATGCTAAAAACATGTTATCAACATCTATCTAAATTTTCAAACTTCAGGCTTTTACAACTGCTTATACTTTCAGGCTAGGCTTTCTCAAGCCAACCTAAAGTTTGTCTCCTGCATATAGGACACCTGAAATGTTCCTCAGAATTTGAAAACCACGCGTGTTGAGTAAACATTTGGGCAGCTGGAATGGGCTGGTAGTCAAAGAGACGGCACATCTTAACAAGATAAAATACCGTCCCAGACGACTGTCAAACACTGCTTAAAAAATAAATAACACAAATGTTTCGGCCTCACCTACAGCTACCCTCTCTGCTGACTTTTAAGAAAAGTATGTTGTGCACCTGTTCGGATGCACATGTGGAATTCACAGTCTCTACATGAACATTTATCAAGGAGATCTTAAAGCATGAAATATGACGTTGGCTGAGCAATAACATATCTATGTATGCAGAATCATAAATAGTCCACATATACAAAGTTACATAAAATATCCAAATATGTGCATTTATAT